GGCAAGCCTGCGGCTCACAGGCCAGTGTGCAACACAGCCTGTGGCCTTTTGTTAACATAATTAGTGACCTTTGTGTAAAAATCTGATTTCCCATGAAAAGTCTGGGTTTCTGGCTTCCCGTCAAGATATCGGATCTGGCACTACTAGGTGAGGTTTGCTGAGTAGAGTCACCTGCCCTCCCCGCCCAGCAATGTATTGCCACCCGTCATGGGGCTCGCACGGTTGCTTTTCATTTTTTTAAAGATAGTTTCTTTTTAATTGTATAGAAGTTTTTTAAAAAAATTTTTATTATAGTTGATTTACAATGTTGTTAATTACTGCTGTACAGCAGAGTGACTCAGTTATACATATATAAACATTTTAAATAATGATTTTAAAAAATTCTTATTATTTTATTTTTATTTTTTGGCTGCATCGGGTCTTAGCTGCGGTGCTCGGGCTCTTCGTTGTGGTGCGCGGGCTTCTCTCTAGTTGAGGTGCAAGGGCTCAGTAGTTCGGCACACGGGCTTAGTTGCCCCGTGGCATGTGGGATCTTAGTTCCCCAACCAGGGATGGAACCAGTGTCCTCTGCGTTGGAAGGCAGATTCTTAACCACTGGACCACCAGGGAAGTCCCTATATACATTCTTTTTCATATTGGTTTTCCATTATTGTTTATTACAGGATATTGAATATAGTTCCCTGTGCTATACAGTAGGACTTGTTGATCCATCCTATATATAATAGTTTGCATCTGCTAATCCCCAACTCCCAGCCCATCCCTCCCCCACCCCCTCCTCCTTGCGCACAGCTGCTTTCTGGCTCCAGCGTTGAAATGCAGCTCATCACAAGTGGCCAGGGGTTGGCGCCGACTTGTGCATGTCGTGCTCGCTTCCCTCCATCAGGAACACGAGGCCCCCGCTGATGTGAGGCTTCTGCACCCGTGGGCTGCACATGGCCGCGCTGTTCAGTCACTGGCGGAATAACCCAGCATTTCCCTTTGGGGAATTGGTCACTGTCGCTGCTAGGCAGGAAGGTGGTGATCAATGTCACCGACACAGTTCACGTCAAAGGTGACCCATTTGCAAACAGGGCAAGTGATATTTGGAGTCAAATTAGGGGAAAGTACTGGATTCTTTAAGAGGGTGGGGAAAAAATGCTGGTGCGATGAGGATTGTTTCGAGCCTTCTAGGTTAGCGCTGCAGCCTGAATGAGTTTGGGTTTAAATGTATGCGGAACATGTGGGACATGGAAACCACAGAGTGAGTTCAGCCACTGCCCTTTGGGCCCTGGAGTGAGGGGGCTCTGGGTTCTTTCCTAGGCACCCGGTGGCCACGTTTTTCCACCTGTTTTTCCGAGTAAGTGCCATCATCACCTACGTGGGCTGTGACTGGTTCAGCAGAAGCTTCGTGGGCTGTTTTGTCACCGTGCTTCTCCTCCTGTCCTTCGACTTCTGGTCTGTGAAGGTAAGGCCCCCTCACCTGTGACAGCCTCGCTCCTGAAACACGTGGCTGCGTTTCCAGATGCTCACAGTTCTGATGCATGTGGCTGATTTGGGCTCAGAGGCACTTTGGTTTAAACTGCTGATGTGTACTTAAGAATACTAAGCCGAATACTGTCACTTAAAATTAGAGAAAAAAATACATTGCTTAGTTGAATAAATGGCTTCTGTCATGCTTGCAAACATGTAGTGTATGAGGGTGACAACTCCATAGGGCTTTGGATTTTTTGTAAATTTTACATATGACATAATATTATAAATAATATATTTTAAAATTCCATATAATATGAATATATGTGCGTGTGCGTGTGTGTGTGTCTGGGGAGTCCTTTTTTCATGAATGAAACTTTGTTTTTAAAATTTTTATTGGAGTATAGTTGATTTACAATGTTGTGTTACTTTTCTGCTGTACAGCAAAGTGAGTCAGTTATACAGTTATACATATACATATATCCCCTCTTTTTTAGATTCTTTTCCCATATAGGTCATTACAGAATATTGAGTAGAGTTCCATATGCTATACAGTAGGTCCTTATTAATTATCTATTTTAGATATAGTAGTGTGTATATGTCAATCCCAATCTCCCAATTTATCCCTCCCTCCCCTTCCCCACTGGTAACCATAAGATTCTTTTCTACATCTGTGACTATTTCTGTTTCATTAATAAGTTCATTTGTACCACATTTTTAGATTCCACATATAAGCAATATCACAGGATATTTGTCCTTCTCTTTCTGACTTACTTCACTCAGTATGACAATCCCTAGGTCCATCCACGTTGCTGCAAATGGCGTTATTTCATTCTTTTTTATGGCTAATATTCCATTTTATATATGTACCGCATCTTCTTTGTCCATTCTTCTGTCGATGGACATTTAGGTTGCTTTTTAAGGTAAGCTTAGTTAAGAATTAGAGGCCTCAAAACTGATTTTGAGAAAGCCCCACAGTTCAGTTCCCCTCTCCTCCTTCTCACGGTGCAAGCTTGGCATGAAATGGTGACTTTTATTCATCAGTGAATGACCCGTGGCCTGCTTGGAGACATTCTGTTCATTTTCCTCAGAATGTAACCGGACGACTCATGGTGGGCCTTCGCTGGTGGAACCAGATCGACGAAGATGGGAAAAGCCACTGGATTTTTGAAGCCAGAAAGGTATTCTCCAATACGTGTCAAGCTAGAACAGGAAAATGGCCGTGGAAGGTTCCCATGGGTTCCTTTTGAGCTTTGTGGGATCTGATCCCCGCCATACACAAAGCCCACTGATGCTGGCACTCCGTTCAAAGTCACATGTGGCAGAAGCACGTGTGACGTGAACAAAAATCACGACACACTCCTTTGCAGCCATTTTTGCGAGTATTGAAACCGAATCACTTTCCCGCCACAGGTCTCTCCAAACACCGTGGCGGCCACAGAGGCGGAAGCGCGGGTCTTCTGGCTCGGCCTCATCGTCAGCCCCATGATTTGGATCGTGTTCTGTTTCAGCTCCTTATTTTCCTTGAAGCTCAAGTGGCTGGTAAGGCAACGTCGGCTTGAAACACCTGTATAGAACCGGTGGTTGCAGGAGTGGGTTTTTGCTATTGATCGACCGATCAATCGAAACAACTTTGAGATAGAATTCACGTACCAGGCCGTGCACCCATTAGTGTGTACAATTCAGGGGCTTCTAGTCTATTCACAGGGTTGTGCAACCATCACCACAATCAGTTTTAGGGTATTTTCATCACCCCAGAAGGAAACCTTGAGCCCTTCAGCGATCACCCTCCCCATATACCTGTCCCCCCCCCCCCGCCCCTGCCACCCACTGATTTCTCTGTTTCTATAGATTTGGCTATTCTGGACATTTTCTGTAAAAGAATCATATAATATGCAGTCTTGTGTGACTGAGCCCTTTCACTTAATATTGTTTTCAGGGTTCATCTCTGTTGTAGCTGGTGTCAGTGCTGCTTTCTTTCTTATGGATGAATACTATTCCACGGTATTAGACCACATTTTGTTTATCCATTTATCCATCAGTGAGATAATCAATGGTTATTTGTTTCCAGCTTTTGGCTCTGAATAATGCTGCTGAGAGAGGAGTTTTTAGAAAAAGTGCATGACGTCCTACCTTGGATAGGGAACCCTTCCTCAGTAGGAATAAGCTAGCCTCAGGGTTCTGCAGTTTTATTTCAGAGTTATCATATTGCATTGCCATGATCTGAGTCATTCAATGAGGAAACAAAATATCTATGGACAGTCTGAGCAACAGCATAAAAAAGTGTGGGCTGGGCTTCCCTGGTGGCGCAGTGATTGAGAGTCCGCCTGCCGATGCAGGGTACACGGGTTCGTGCCCCGGTCCGGGAAGATCTCACATGCAGCAGAGCGGCTGGGCCCGTGAGCCATGGCCGCTGAGCCCGCGCGTCCGGAGCCTGTGCTCTGCAACGGGAGAGGCCACAACAGTGAGAGGCCCGCATACCGCAAAAAAAAAAAAAAAAAAGTGTGGGCTCTGGAGTCTGGATCACGGCTCAGCCTCGCTCCAGCTCTGCGACCTCAGGCAACTTTAGCTTCCCTGAGCTTCCATGTTCTCCCTGTAAAATGGGATAATAACGGTCCCAACCTCTCGGGTTCCTGGTGATTAAAAGTGGTCCATGAGTATTTGTAAGCACTCCGTAGAGGTTGGCTATTACTAGCAGGTGTGGGCCAGAGCCACTCCTACTTGCTTTGGGAGCAATATTTCAATACGTGCTCTTAGGAGAATTACATTTGCTTTGTCTGAGCGCAGGCCCTCGTGATAGCTGGGATTTCTCTCCAAGCCGCTAACCTGTACGGCTACGTCCTTTGTAAGATGGGAGGCGAGAGTGACATCAGCAAAGTCACAGCCAGTTTTCTGTCCCAGACGGTGTTCCAGACGGTGAGTTACTGAAGTCTGATTCCTGGACCCCTGATCTCCAGACACTTAAAAGTCAAGGAGGCCTGTTGGCAATGGCAGGTTTTGATGTTTTCCATATTAGCCAGGCCTCCGTGGTTAGTTGCTTTTTTGTGTGTGTGGTTAAAATTTACCCTTTTAACCATTTTTAAGTGTACAGTTCAGGGCTTCCCTGGTGGCGCAGTGGTTAAGAATCCGCCTGCCAATGCAGGGGACACGGGTTCGAGCCCTGGTCCAGGAAGATCCCACATGCCGCGGAGCAACTAAGCCCGTGCGCCACAACTACTGAGCCTGCACTCTAGAGCCCGCGAGCCACAACTACTGAAGCCCGTGTGCCTAGAGCTTGTGCTTTGCAACATGAGAAGCCACCGCAATGAGAAGCCTACGTGCCGCAATGAAGAGTAGCCCCCACTCGCCGCAACTAGAGAAAACCTGTGCGCAGCAACGAAGACCCAACGCAGCCAAAAAAAAAAAAAAAAGGCAGAGTTCTTTAAAAAAAAAAGTGCACAGTTCAGTATATCCACATCCTCATATCACAACTCTGATCTTCACAAACCGAAACTCTGTACCCACTGAATGTTTAACTCCCCATTCCCCCCCTCCCCCCCCACCAAGCTCCAGGTAACCACCTACTTCCTGTCCCCATGCATCTGACGACTCTAGGGACCTCACCTAAGTGGAATCATACAGCGCTTGTCTTTTTGTGACTGCCGTTGTCGGTTTTGAGTGATTTCTTTAAACGACAGAATTAAGAACCATAACGTATTTTTTTTTTAAACCTAGCCTTAGTTCTAGGAGAGAAATAGATCTTCTAAATTTGACCAGGCTCTTCCTGAAATGGTCTGAACCATCTTAACTGTGAACAGTGCAGCTTCACACCAAGACCTTGAGCAACCAGCCCTACAGGCTTTCAGTTCACTGTGGGTTTGCTCTGGCCTTGAATCAGCAGGATCGGGCCACACACATGTGAGACAGAAAGCCAGGGCAGCCTCTTCCCCTTGCAGGCCTGTCCAAGAGACTTCCAGAAGCCTGGCCTTGAGGGGCTGGAGATTCACAAGTATTAGGTAAGAGGTGGGATTGAGGTGGTGGCCTGGACGGTGCAGGGCCGGGGGCTCCCGTGGAAGCACAGCTCCCCTGGGTTCAGCTGGGCCTGCGGTCTGGGTGGGCCCTTTAGAGGGGTCCCACCTTCCTCACCTTGAACAGGTGGATTTGACCCTATGTAGGCAAGCGGGGTGGGCGACGAGAGAAGGGGAGGGCAAGGCATTTGTCCGCCTTCCACTCCATGCCTGGAATAAGATGGGAACTGGGAATTTACTCTTCCCTCAGCTGCTCTCAGTTCCTGTGTGTCTTTCAGAGTGAGCGTCTCATGGCAATGAGGATCTTCTTGGAGTCTGCATCTCTCTTTTTATGTAATGTTAAAAAACCCTGTAAGTTGTCTGACACTGGAAATTGCTGGATATAGTGAACACACATTCCTATACAGGGTGTCGACACTGACCCCCAAATCTGTTCTCATGTGGGTGATTCGATGGTTTTTTGACTGTGCCCAGCCATGTGGTGTGCACTGACCTCAGAACAAGCCCCAGCAGGAGGATCTATCACTGCTTTAATTTTTTCTCCACCTGAGGAACAGCGTTTGCACTATGCTGTCTGCAACTGTGACTGTATATCTGCAGCGAAGCCACACATTCACCCCTTTGTCCCTCTGGTTCTTTTTCAGGCTGACTTTCCGAGGCAGCGAAGGCTCAAGTGAGAGGTTCTGTAATGGAACAGCTTCCAACAGAGAAGAAAATTCCATGACCCACAAGCCGCTGGTTTTTTACATGAAGCAGGCCTTGGGGCAGAGGTTTGAGATGTTTTTATTTTTAAAGCGGCACATCTGTAAAGAATGCCCTTTACATATGTACTAAAGAAAAGTGTACAAATGTTAGATGATTAAAGTGTCTCTGAACAAGTGACTTCACACCATGCCTGGGGCTGGTCCCTCTCTGTCTGTGACCCCTGCTCTGTCACCCAGCTGGTCAGGTGTGATGGGACGTGCTGCTTGTGTTCCTAACGTCCTCCTGTTTCAGGAGCCGACGAGGTTCTCCCCTTTTGGCTGATGCAGACTACAGAACTCCTGGATTCCTGGAAAACAAGACAGCAGGCAAGGAAGCAGTGGCGGCTCTTGGTGGCCCTGCCCTTTGCTGGCGAGGCTGCGTCTAGATGGGGTGGAGTCCCCAGGTGGCTTAATTCTCCCAATAGTCCCATTTCGGCTTATGCCCTGAATCTCTGAAAGTGAGCCCAATACTGCCCACTGCCCATCTGTGGTTATAACCACAACTGGAGGCCTCACGCTGGCCCATTCTACAGATCAAGAATCCTGGAAATGATGTGATTTACCCTCAACACCATTTCACTAGGTCAAAAGGACTCAGCCGCAAACCGGGAGCCTAAAGCTTTAACTGCTGACGACACCTGTGCCTTAGATTCAGTGCCCCTGATGGCTGCCTGTCGTTGACTGAATCAGGCCTGCACATGGGTTGGGTCTGGCTCACTGTGCTGCTTTTTTCTTCTTCATTTCTTTTTATAGCTTTATTGAGGTGTACTTCCTATACCATAAACTTCACCATGTGTTTTAAACTATGACTTAGTTCACAACACTGATGTACCGGAAGATTTTTCAAGACTCCTGGCTTCCCGGGCTGATGGGGTCATCCCAGACCTCACTACCCCAGTGTCCCCACCAAAGCTGTGTGGCCACTTATGGCTGCAGTGACCACTTATGGTCCTGAACGGGGCCTTCTCACACCCAGCCCACTCTGCTCATTTACGTCACTTCCTGGCCCCGTGCCGTCTGGATTCACAAGACTCACTTCAACACTTACTCTGAATTATACTTCTGTAGGCTAAGGTGGCTGGTGAATCCGGTGCTTCAACCAAAAAAGACTGTCCTTTGTCGCAACTCTTACCTTAAAGAAACAAAGGAAAGAAAATCCATGAAGAAAGCACAGTGGTGATGTGAACCTGGGGCTCTTTCTGTGCCCGTGACACTGAAGATCGAGCCCACCTCACTTGAAATGAAGATCAAAGCTGAGACGGAATGTCGGGGTCTCGAGGACCTCACCTTCCCCCCCTCCATCCAGCAGGGACCCTGGCTAGCGTTTCCTCGCAGCTCTGACCTGTACCTGGCTGATGGTGTTTAGTGTGTGTGCCTGCGAGTCATCTGGGTCATGTGCAGCAAATGCAGGTTCCAGGGCCCCCATTGTGATCAGATACAGCAGCTCCTAGGCAGGCCCAGGAACCTGCATTTAAAAGACCCATTCACTCTTTCAGTAAAAAGATAATGAAGGCACACAGTAAGTGTATGGAATACAAAAGGTTATACCATGAAGAATGAGTTCAAAGGAGGCTACCACTGTTTCAAGTATCCTTCTAGAAATATATGCATATATATACATATACACACTCATGTATTTAAAAAAAATGCTTGGGAGTGTATGACACACATATTCTGCCCGTTGCTTTCTCCATGTGTAATTTTATCTTGAAGGTCACTCCAGGTTGGCATCAATCCATCTGCTCTGTGTACTGCAGTGCCGCCTTGGGACACACAGGTGGTCTCGCATCCAGGTGAGCACGGGGCGGGACCTTGGGCAGGCGGCGTGCTCCCCTCCCGTCTGGTCCTGGGTAGACCCCGCTGCCAGCTCCTCTGCCCCCGCCCCCCCTGCTGGAGAAGCAGGATCAGTGGTTCCACGACCCACAGCTGCTCCCCAGCCTCCTGGGGGGATCCTGGCCAGGCCAACCGTGGAGCAGTCGTCACCTCAGCTCCCCAGCATGTTGCCCGGTGGGACAGGGACACCCGAGACGGGGGGCAGAGTGGGCCCCCATGTGGCCCGGGCACTGTGAACTGTGGCGGAAGCAGCTAGGGAAGCCTCCGAGTTCACGGTCGCTGGACTGGGTCTGGGAAGTCACAGGCCCCACAGCAGGCTCGTGGGGCCACTTCCTTCTGATTTTCATCCAGCGTCCTCTCACTCCTCGTCCTCCCTTCCCCAGAGGACACGTCTGTCCCCTTATAAATGCGCTCTGGTCAGTCCCCCATCTCCACAAACCTCCCCCTCTCCTGCCTGTCGCCTGCAGGCGGCACCCCTTGGGCACTGCCCTGTCCAAGGCTCCCCTCGTGGCCCTCCTTCCATCTGTGCAGCCCCTGGCAGTGGCTCCATCACCGTGCCCACCTTGCAGGTGCGGCCTGAGGTTCAGTGCCTGGCAAGGACCCGCCAGAGCCCGCAGCCAGCGCTGGGGCAGCGCAGATCTAGGCCAGGGCGCCCAGCCCCAGACGTGCTTCCGCGTGACCCTCAGGTGTGCGGGGCTGGGGAGGCCGAGGATCACGTTGCCAGAGCCCGGCCGCTCCTCTGCTGCACGTTCCCACAGGGGCTGAGCGCGTCCTTCGCGGCCTCTTGTCTGTTCCTGGTAACGTGGCTGTTCCCTCACCGGACAGAAGCGGCTCCAGAGGGTCACAGCGACCTCACTTGGCCCTGCCTGCCTCGCCGCAGCGCGTCACGGCATTAACAGCCTGTCCTTTCCGACGCCGGCCCAGCTCTCTGCAGCTACAACCAGAGGTGAGGTCTGGGGACATGAACCTTGTCCCGCTAGACGGCACTGAATCCGAGGCTGCACCAGGCCACCTCTCCTGTAAGCTGCTCTAAGGACTACGGCGGCAGCATGGCCTGGAGCGGATGGCGGTGACAGGCTGCCACCACGCACTGTCCCACACAAGTTCATGTGCGCCACCCGCCTCTGGAGGCCTTTGAGGGGAGGTACCTGCTCCTACGGCCCAGAGGGAAGCTCTGGTCAATGCGAAGACAGTTTACAGCAGTGGGGAAGGCTGGAAAAGCAGCCGAGTTCTCTGTTTCTTGGGGAAACCACATACCAGAAGTGCTGCTGGGAGTGGAAACAAGCGAGGTGCGATCTCCGGAGCTGCCCCCCGGGTCCCCCGGGCTTCTTGGGGGCTCTTCCCGTCCACCTCCTCAAGGCAGGCCTCCTCCAAGCTGCGCTCTCGGCCCCTCCTCTCTGCACCTCCCACCCCCCGTCGCGGGCACGTCCCCCTCCACTCCTGACCTCTCTCCCCAGCCCGCTGACCAAGCCAAGGCCTCGCCCACCTCCACACAGCACCACGAGGGAGCCAGCCGGTTCTCGGTGCTGTCCCCGTCTCCTCGGTGGCTCACACTGGGCAGCACGGACGTCTGTGACACCTCTCAAATCCTGGCACTTTCTGTCTCTGTGTACCCCCCTCCCTGGCAACGCCCAGGCCCCAGTCCAGCCCTAACCTCCTCCCCGTTCTCCTGCAGCACAGCCGCCACGGCCTCGGCCTCTAGGTGCACACGGTGCCCACGCTCCCAAGGCTCTCACTTCCTAACAACTGGGGCCCGAGCGCCGTCGGTCTCTGTCAGCTTCCCTCAGGCCCGGGCACCTCTGCGTAACCTAACTGTCCCACTTCCTCATGGGGGGGCTCACGCCTAACTTCAGCAAGGTCAACTCCTGCTACTGTGGGGAAACAAATCTGGCGGTGGGTGTCCTCACGACTCCACTCAGTGAGCCGACGCCCCGGAGTGAGTGTGGGGTGGAGGTGGGGTCCCCGGAGGACTGTGGCACTCAGAGAGGAGCATGACCCCCAGAGGCAGGCCAGCGACTTCCCCTCACGCTCACCGAGAGAAGCCGGGTACAAGGAGGGCTGCGGCGGGCTTCCCTGTACACTGGACATGCGGGGCACCTTCCTCGGGAGTCTTCAAGGCTAATTCTGTACCCGGCTTTGAGTCTGAACCTAATTCCTGTGTAAGAGAAGACTCGAAGGCACGCCCCTTGCCGCCTCCCCAGGTCACCCCCGGCCTGGCCCCTCCCCTTAGTGACTTCCTTTCCTCCTTTCCTCCTGCCCTCCTGCACTGGGCGTCTCCCTGACCAGTCTCTCCTCTCCTCTCCTCTCCTCTGCAGGCCCCTCCCGCCGCCCCGAAGTTCTCCTGCTCCCTCGGCTACGCGCCACGCGTCTCACTGCTCCTCTCAGCTGGAGGGCACGCAGCCTCCACCGGGGACTCACCCACCTATGCGCGGATCCAGAGGCACTTTGCCGAGAAGCGGGACCTTCAGGTCATGGCACATGACCTCCGCACCCCCAGTCGTCGGCGGGAATATCTGAGTCTCCTTCTGGGAGGCAAATTAAAGGGGGAGGAATCCTGATTTTGTTTCAGAATCATACGAATGGACCACATTTTACAGCAACTTTAAAAAATGGCTATTTTGAATGTGAAAAGAATTTTCATTAAATCAGCAACAGAGGGTTTTAACTGATTCCACTTCCCGAAATGATGGGGAAAACAGAAACGGTTTCCCAGAGATCCAGCGCTACGATTTCCTCAGGCATGGAGGACGGGACCTGGTTGGACGTACTCTCACCTGGCACTTGGGGCAGATGAAGCCGCTCATGTTCTCCACCACCCCGATGACGGGCAGCTTCACCTTGTGGCAGAAGCTGATCTCTTTCCGGACGTCCTGGAGCGACACCTCCTGTCAAGGTTCAAGAAGTCCAGTTATGTCAAAGTCAAAGCATAAAAAGAGAACATCCGCGTGGTGGAGGGATGGCTGCAGGGCCGTGGCATCGCCACCGTGAAGCGTTAGAGACCGTGCCCCGTGTTCCGTATTTGTTTCGTGCCGACCACGTGTGAGCCCTGGTCCAGGTGCTACTTACTTCCCACAAACCTCAAAGGATAAACCTGAACAGGCAAATGTCCAATGTACAACGAATCTACAGGAAAGTGACCCTTTAACACACCTCCATGTTCCACGTTGCCGTCAATGTACTAGGCTGATCCTGAGTAGGCACAGCTTTCCAGGTCAGGGGCAGCCTGTGGGCTCGTGTGGCTGCCTATTTTCATAAATAAAGTTCTTCTGGAACACAGCCCGGCCCACTCTTCTGCATAGTATCTCGGGCCGCTTTCGCCCCACAATGGTACAGCTAAAGGGCCGCGACAGAGACCGTGTGACCCAAAAAGCCTGAAACAGTTACTCTCCAGTCCTTCACAGAAAAAGTACATCAACCTCTGATCCTGGTTATCATGAACCCAAGCAACTTTATGCACAAAAAGAAAATAAGGACTATTACCAGGTTTGGATCCCTTCAAATTCACTTCTGGACTCTCAATGTGTATCTTACAGTGTGAGGACTGTGGATAATCAGGGCTTAGTACCCGCCCCAGTACCCCATTTAATTTTACTGCAGACACGTGTCCAAGTGTCGTGTGCTGTCAAATACGGCTACTCCTTAACATCTGTGGCTTTAATGGTCACAGGCCTTCAAAGGGTCCTGGCTTTGAGTCCTCTATTCTCCTGAGGCCCACGTTTGGCCCTCGCGCCCTTTGAGGCTGGGGTACAGACGGAGGGGCATTTAGCTAGAAAGTAAACTGGCTGTTACTAAGCGTCTCACCGCAGTGCAGCTGTGGTTCTCTCCCTGGTATCCTCTACAAGCCCTGCTTTGTCAAAAATGACCCCACAGAAACTAACACACCACTGTAAAGCAATTATACTCCAATAAAGATGTTAAAATTAATTAATTAATTTTTAAAAATGCAGTTCTCACAAAAAAATAAAAATGACCCCTAAAGAAAGCCAGCTGCTGGACGTGCAGGGCTCCGAGAAAGTGGGCGTCCCCAGCCTGAAGTCACATTTTCTAGAGAAGTTACATACAGAAGTGCACAAACATGGGGCGTTCCCCCCAGGCTTCCTGGAGAAGGGCCGGCATCTGCTCGGTCTGCTCCCCTCCTCCTGAACCCAAGGGGACTCTCTTTCCTTTCACAGTAAATATGGTATCAGAGAGGCCATCCTTGTGTCAACTCGATTGTTGCTGTTGCTTTAGACTTGACTTTTAGAGCGGTTTTTAAAGTTCACAGAAAGCACAGAGTTCCCATGTGCCCCTGCCCCACGTGGAAAGCCCTGCCCACTGTCAGCACCCGCATCAGAGCGGACGTCCCCACTCCACTGTTCTCACAGGTCATTTCTTTGGGACCTACTCTTGAGAGCACTGCTGGTCTAAGGGTGGGCCCCAGCCTCTCTTTAAAAATTCAGTAGGAAACATTCCTAACGACAAATTCGTCTTCTCTCCAGCGCCATCCTCGGGCCAGGCGCCCTTGGCCCCCACCCCTGCCCCAGCCACCTAACGCCTCCCTGTCCGCTGACAGTGGCTGGACCGAAGATAAACGTAAGGTTTCTGCGGATCCCAGTCAGGGCATGCTGCAGAGCCCAGGGTCTCGGGCTGTGGGAGAAAGAGACCCTCCGGGGTGGGGGGCCCTGGCTCACCTGCGGCGTGGTGATGATCACCGCCCCATCGATGTGCGCTGCGGCCAGGTACTGCACGGCCGAGAGGTGTTCGTCCGACGTCCCGGGTGGGGTGTCCACAATGAGGTAGTCCACCTCGCCCCAGTCCACGTCTCGGAGGAACTGCTTGATCATGCCTGCAAGGAGAAGCCGCGGGAATGCCTCCTCTCTCCCGTCCTTCTGACTCTTTACAGAAGCACAGCTCGTGACCTTTACGTACGGATCACCTGTGCTCTCAATCAGTGGTGTTTGGCAACGTCTGGGGACACGTCTGCTTGTCAATGACTAGGGTGGGAGTTCTACTCGCCTCTGGAGCACAGAGGCCAGGGTACTGCTAAGCCCCTGTGACGTGGAGGACAGCCCGCCCTCCCCAAACAAGGAATTATCTGACTCAGTACGCCAACAGCACCGAGGCTGAGAAACCTTGCCCAGATAGGCACTTTCGCATCATTACCTGCAGCCTCAACCTGCTACTGATTTCACCTCACATACTTCCCTCTTTGACACAAATAAGAACACAAACCACCTTAGGAATAATTTCAGGGTTAGGGAGATTTTCAGGAGAGAAAAACCCCTAATAGATTTTAAAAATTATAACATTTTATTAAATAAAACTGGTATTTCTGTTGGCTCTCTTCAACCAGTGAAGAGGCAACCAGATGCATAAAAATAATCCTCTATGAAGCCCAGCAGGATGAGCCTGAGGCCATTCTGACAGGATGGGATGCAATTCTGCCCTTGGAAGGACGTGATAAGAGACAGAAAGCAGAGTGGCAAACCATTTTTCTTTGGTCCCCTCCAGATAACGGCATCATCGGGGCTGCTGAGCAAGAAACCCACCGACATCACCCCCAAGTTGTCTTCCAGGAACTAGAAAGGATGACGCAAGAAACATTTTACTTAAAACCACAGTGCAAGGCACTTCCCTATGTCTTTTGTCTGAGCTCTGGCTGAAGAAATTGGGGGGACAAAATTACTGTGTGATCTGTGAGTATATTCACTCTTTGAACCCTTAAATCTTTTTTTCGAAAAAAATCATTAAAGAAAAAGGTTACCATATTGGGGGGATTGAAAGAGTCACCATACGGCCTTATGCGGCAATGACAGTGAACTCAGCTGAAATAAACAAACCTCGTCTCCTTTACTATCTTAACCTGGGTTGGCAAACTATGGCCCCACTTCTGGTTTTGTATAAAGTTTTATTGGAAAACGGCCACGGTCATTCATTTGCTTATCACTACTTTCCAGCTATGACGGTAGCAACTGTATGGCCCACAAACTGGAAATATTTACTCTCTGAGCCTTTACAGAAATAGTGTGCCAATCCCAGGTTGGAACTGGATTCCCTGTGCCTAGGAAAGCGCCTCAATAAATATCTGTTGACGATAAACAGTTACAACCCTTTATGTTCACATACGACAAGAGATCCTGAAGAAAAGGGGGTCAGCACTCACCACCGGAGACCAGCCTGAGCCACTCTGGTGAACCTGCAGGAACAGAAGCCCATGCTTATTTGTGAGAAATTATACGCCCTGGTCACGCTTCTCTCACAGACAAAGTTTACGCAGTAAGAAGGCAGTTTTATAAATTACAATTCATTATCTTAAATGCTACCACTAAATTCTTAATAGGGAGTGAACAGAGGGGGGTCAGGGGCTGGGTTATGGATTATAGAATTCATTTGCTTTTTCCCTCCCAGGTTGGGTTATTTGGAAACTGCTTAGATGTCTGGTCAGGGGACCGATGTTACCGGAGTCCAAATATAATTTGGGATATTTTAAAAGTGTGACAGAAATCAGTTGGGGGGTTGCTGAGAAGATGCAGGTAACTGTGGATCAGCGAGGCAGTCTCTGTACAAGTCCAGGAGTGGAGGGATGACCTTTAGTGAAACAGTAGACACAGAACCCTCCCATCAGTGGTGTGAACTTCAGGGCTGAGCTGCTGCCCCCAGGGGACAACAACTGGGGAAGTGGTGTCGGCGGGAAGCTTGGGCTACTGCAAGACCCAGACCCTCTCCTCACCGTAGGCGTTCACTAACTGCCCGGGTTCAAGTCCGTATCAACGCTTTACTATGAAACAGGAACTTACGCAACTTCCAACCACACATCAATCTTAGATTTACAGTTCAAGTAACGCTGGACCCAGAACAGAAAGCCCATTTTTCCTGATGAATTCTTACTTTTTTAAACAGTCTTTTGAGATATAATTCACATACCACACAACTCACCCATTTAAACTGTACAATTAAATGGCTTCAGGATATTCACAGAATTGTACATCCATCGCCACAATCAACGTTAGAACACGATACCCTGCACCCCTTAAGTGTCACCCCCGGTCCCCACACTTCCCCCCAGTCCTAGGTGACCACGGATCTACTGTGTCTACAGGTGTGCCTGCTGCTGACATTTCACAGAATTGCAGTCGGATAACATGGGGTCCTTTGTCACTGGCTTTGAAGTCATACTTAAAAAAGAAAAACCCATTGATTCCTATTAATACTAATTCTCTAAGTCACTGGTTTTGAAAGAGGGGTAAACACGATGATCCAATAGCACAGGAGGAGAAAATAGTAGAACTTCTGTTTTATCTCACCATTTAAAATTTTCAATTTTTATAACTACTTGTGTCCTGGCCCAGTGAGTAGTACATGCACGTGACTGACGGGAACGGACCCCCGTGCTGGGGGGCATGTGCTCCAGAGCTTGCTGCTCACCGGGACGTGCTCAGAACTGTGATTCCTGCTGCTTCGCAGCAGGGCAGAAGCAAGTCCCAAGCCCTGAGCAGAGTCCCCAAGGACTGGCTCCATCTGCCTCTGGCTACTCTCTGCCACCCCGTCCCTCTGCCCCGTCCCCGTGGGCCACTTTGCTGAGGACATGAGGACACTCCTGCATGTGCTCCCCATCCCAGCGCACCCTTCTCTGGGTTCTCTGAGCAGGGTGCCCTTGACCACCCCCTCCCAAAGAGCAGCTCCCCTGGCCGCCCTGCCCTGCCGAGTCTGTCCCCTTACCCTTAGTGTCCTATTATCACCTGCCCCTCCCACAAGGGTAGGGTCTTTATCTGCCTTGTTCTCCTCTGAACCTCAGCACCCAGCGCTTCAGTAAAGAATGTATGGATCCCAACACCCCAGGAAAAGCCTAGTCCTCCAGCCCGGCTTCAGTGCACCCCCCAGGGGAGCCTTTCTTGGATGGCTCTGTGCCACCTAGAAGGGAGGGAACAGCACGTGCTGCTCCACCCCCGCCCGCATTCTTCGCTTGCCTCGCAGTCTCACTTCCCCTCTGGTGACCACAGGAGCAGAGATATTTCCTTGCTTCCAGAGTACAGAACCCTAGCCAGCCCTGGTCTAGCTTTCCCAGCCAGGGCTAAGTTTCTGTGTCTGACTTCTGCATTTGACGTATTGTTTCCCTTCCCCTCTAAGAAGGCATTGAAACTAACAATTCTCAGAAGGTTTGAATGGAACTTAAATATAATCCACACCGCCCCCAAACTCACGGCTGTTGTTAAAAGGAGACAGGCGGTCTAGTGAACATTTACCTGATCTCGTCACGTCCAGGTAAAAAGGCATGGGCTCCGCTGACCCCCTGGCTTAGGGTTAGCGGCTTGGCGCTACAGGTTACCGTAAGAAAATGCTTCCCTGCATTTTGTCTTGCCACTATTACCTGTTCTCCTTCCAATCCCATGATCTTGGGAATTGACGGCCCACATATATCAATGTCTAGAAGAGCCACCTGGGGAAAAGAGGAGACGTGATATAAGCAGGTGTACAATCCTCCAGATGTGCACAACCGGGAGGGGACGGGGTTCCAGGAAAAGGAGGGAGGGGAGAAGGTGAAGAAAAACTGGGTTGAACTTGGACCGAGCGGAATCTCATGAGGGAGAGTTACAACATTTATCTTCCGGGCCACAGAGACACAGACGAAACTCCTAACAAGAACCTGCAAAGTACGCCAACACCCCCGGCGCTCTGCCCATGACCCTGCTGCACCCCAGCCACCCTCAGTATGGCCTATTTTCAGGCTGAGCTTATGGTCCAGGGTATCAGGTCGCTTGACGATTCAGGCCCAGCCACTGTTTACGTAGCCCTTACCATGTATTGGGGTGTGTGTGTGTGTGTGTTTGCGCACGCGCCTGTGTGTTCGGGATCATTATCTCTGCTTTACAGAAGAGGAAACTGAGGTTCAGAGAGGCCCAGAGACTTGTTCAACGAGCAAGAAGCAGAGCTGGGACATGAACTGAGGTCTCTGGACTCCAACGCCAGGGCTCTTTCCCATTACCCTGGGGGCCTGGCAAGGAGGGCCAGAGTGGACCCTCTAGCTGAGCTCTGACCAAGCCCTGTTTTCCTGTGATGCTGAAGGTTAATGATGGCTTAGGCTCAACTTCTAAAAAAGAAAGTGAAAATAAGGAAATCTACAGAAGTTCTTTGCTAGTGATACGTGCAGCCTTGGATGACTCCTTCTACCCCAAACGCCCTGCTTTCCCCATCTGATTCGTGAAAAGGTCTGAGACAGCCTTCAGAAACCTTCTAAAGAGCAGGGCCGTGTTCATCTTGAAAGCTCTCACATCTTAGATCCAAAGTAGAGCACCTCTGGGTAACTTTTTAACTTGCCCCAAATTAGTTTCTTGCTTTCCTCTTCAATCCTCTGGACAACCTCCTATGATCCTCACATGACTTCACACCAGGTCAGGAAAGCGGTTCCTTCATACACTGGATAGTCGTTTGCCTCAAGCGCCCTCTGCTGGACCTCAAGAAGAATGCAACAGAACAACGCTCACCCTGAAAACCCATCAGGGTGAAGACCTCATCCTGAAGACCTGACTTCCGTGGCCTTCTTGATGCTTCAGGCTGATGTGTGGTTAATGATCCAGACGTTTTACATCAGCGCCTCACAACTTGGGAAATTATACCATCGCTACGACCCTAACGGAGACTTTCGTCAATAATCTCGAGTTTCTAGCCACTTGGTCTAGAAAATCTCGCTCTCTTTTGGGAACAGTTTAATCAGTTTCCTTTTGAGGAATTACACCCCCTCTTCCCCACAACCAAGTGGGTATCTTGAGTGAAATGATACAAGAAAGAGATCACATGCACTCACTCTGCGGTGGAGCCCGAAAAGGCTGTGGCACATTCCTGCTACCCAGCTCTCCAGTGGCCGTGTCTTGTCCCCTTCAGATATTCTGCTGATCCTGCCGCTACCCCCATACCCATCCAATTAATTCCCTTTCTGCCCCAGTTACACCAGAGAACCCCAGCTGGAAGAAACATGCCTGCAATAATCCTCACAGGGTCTGTGGAAGGTGCTAGAAGACTGATGGGAAGAGGAGGCTTTGCCACACCTCTCCCAGCTAGAAAGTGGTGGAGTGGGTGCTGCAGGGCTGTCAGGATCCACAGCGTTCCCTACCTAGCGCCCCATACTTCCACTTAAGAAGAGGTCACGGGAAGCGGGCTCAGCACTAACTCCTGGCACTCTGAGGCCGTGTCGCCTCGCACAAGCTGCTTCTCCTCCCCGATCTGTCTGAGCTTCTGATCTGCGAAACTAGTGTTTCGGGAGATCATTAGGCTCCTTCCAGCCCTCGAGTCTACAAGCCCCCGAGAGGGCCCTCAGACACTATAGCCTGGACCTTTTAATGACACAGCTTGCCTTTCAGCTCACAGGGCAGGATGATAAGCTGGGAACTGACGGGAGCTGCTGACTCTTGCGGTGGGAAGAAGGCACGTGATTCTTGGATGTCTCGCAGCTCAGGTCTGCGCCATAGAGGCTCCTCCTCCTGCCTTCGCTCCAACCTGCACATTCCCCGGCCCACCTGTGATTAATCAGGGGCTACCCTGCGATTCAAGGCCCTCTGCAAACCATCAGACACCTGCCTGACCAAGTGCTATCATGGAACAGCCTTGCTTGCAGTCAGTAATGAGCTGCCACCAGGCGGCAGGCAGAAAAGGACGGGGCAGTCCTCCCCATCCTGCTGAATTTAGGGCAGGGAGGGGTGTGAGCTGCTTGACTTTAGTCAACAAGACACTCGGTGTGTACTCTGTGCCCACGCCAGGCACCCTTTGGAGACAGTGATGTTTTCTGTCACCAGTAGGTCTGCCTGAGGGGAGACAGACTTTCTTAAGTGCTGACTTTTTTTTTTTAAGCACCACTGCAAGAAAAAAATCCAGCTCATCTAGCCATGTTTCCACACAGCTGGTGAGCTTCCCTTCAGTTTACTGCAAAGTTTCAACGTGTGCGCAGTGGGACTTCAGAACGTAACAACACGGAAGCGTGATTCTATGTAAACAGCTGTCTATTTACAAGTGGTTCCTTGTAGCTGGCCTGGTTAAAGTACATCTCCAGACAGCTGTTTAAGAAAATGCCTGACAGCTTCTGAAAGCAAAGATTATTCTGGGTAACATGGGTCATCGCAGAAAACAGATTTCTTGGCTGGCCAACTGGCCAATACAAACTTGACCCTCAGACGGCAAAAGATTGTTGACTAACAGAAAAACAGATGGGCAAGTATATGTGAACCCGCTTGGCACTGGACTCTGGGTGGGCTACAAACTCATTATCACCAAAGCAGAAACAGTCTTCACCCCTCCATATTCTATCAGGGATATTTATTGAGCACTTCCTATGCATCAGGCATCGTGCTAAGCATTTTACTGTTACGTGCATCATCTCACTCGGTCCTGAGGCCCATTTTACAGATGAGAAAACTGAGGCAGAGATAGTCTGATCACCTGCCCAAGGTCACAGCAGTGGTATCAGCGGCACTGGGATGTGATCGTGGGCAGACCGACTCCAGAGCCTGTGTCCTTGGCCACCACGCTAGTCTGCACCCACCTCCTGCCCCAAACGCTCAGCTAGACTTCTGACCCTCCTTCTTCTCCAAGAGTTGGAGGCCCTGCTGCTCCATTTGTTCCTGTCGTTGGTTCTAGCACTGCCCTGGTTGTGTCCTCGTGGCCTCTCATGGAGACAAGAGCAACACCTCCTGCTGGTTTACCGTCACCCTCTGACGACACTCGATCACACACTCAGCTGCTGCTATAGCAACCCTCAAACCATGCCTCTTTCCCGCTGGAACATCTTCCCAGGGCGTTAAAGCCTCCCAGGTCTGGCTCAGGCTGAGCCTCGCCCTCGGCCCTCTGCTGCAGCAGCAGCAGCCCTGCCTGCCCAGCCTGTCTGCCCCGGCAGTCCCAGCTCTGCGCCTCTGCCTCCACCTCCTCCTGCCACATCCCATCAGCCGCCATCAGAGTCCAAGGCCGCCTTCTCCCACGAGCCTGCCCAGCTGTCCCCTGCCAGTCACTTCTCCCTTTCCCCAGATGCCTAGAGCACATCTTGGGTAACAGATACCAGATTCCAGAGAAGCATACGGCAGTCATGTAAGCCAACAAAAGCAGCTCCACACGTCATAAAATGATCCAAAGAGAAATGAGTTATAAGCAGGATTCAGAGCCCTAGTAAGAGAAACACCAAGCTTTACAGGTCCCCTAGTCCAGCCTCTGCACTGTCCCAAGAAGGCCACGGCCTCCCCAAGGTTTCAATCCTCCCCCAAAGAAGTTCTTCCCCAGCCAGCACTAGTGCTTCTGGAGCTACAAACCAAACCAGGGGCCGGCGAACTACAACGCAGGGGCCAAACCCAGAATGCCACCTGTTTCTGTACAGCCCATAGCTAAGAATGGCTATTACGTTTTTAGAGTTGGGGGGGAAAAAATCAAAAGAATACATTTATTTCACGACAGGGTGAAAATTATGAAATTCAAATTATATGAAATTCAAAGTTTTATTACAACGCAGCCACACTCATTTGTTCATAGGTTGTCTATGGCTGCTTTCATGTTCAAGGGAAGAACTGAACAGTTGCTACAGAAACTGTATAGCCTACGAAGCCTAAAATATTTACCGTCTGGCTCTTTATATAAAAAGTCTGCTGACCCCTGAAGTAAACTCTACTTTCTTAACCCAACGATTTAAAAAAATATATTCCTGGAGCCTTCGGTGAGGTATCTGAGAGGCCACTGTTTATCTGTGTGTGTGTGTGTGTGTGTGCGTGCACACACGCACACGCTCAAGCATATTGAGGGCAGGTCAGAATGGTGGGCTTGATCCCCCTGCCCAAGGTAGCTACATTTACTGGGTTTTTTGTGGAGGAAATAAAGCCTTTATTTTATTAAGAATTTAGGGCGCTATTTCATACTGGAATAGAATGGTTTATCTCACACAAGTAGAAAGTATGCAGTTTATCCAGTTATTAGAGTTAAAAAAAAATAACTGGCAATATGTGGCAGTTTTGAAATGTAAATATTAAATTAAACATACCTTTACACTCCCCACTAGCACTATCTTAAAAAAAAAAAAGCCAAACAAAAGTGAAAGGTCATTTGCCAGTTATAAAATAAATGTGAAGTGAAAGTTAGTTAGCCCTTATTTATATAAAAATAAATTTCAACATTCAAAATGCACAAAAACAAAACTAATTTTCAAAAATATATCAGTGTATGGAAAGAAGGCACGCACCAAGACCAAGGAAAGAACTGGAATGGCTGTTTCAATGTGTGTTCAATGTTTCAACATGAACACAATAAAATTGTTTCCATGTTACAAGGAACTACTCTGCAGGCCCCAAACAGCACTCTGACGGGAAAACAGCAGAGTTGGTGATCCACACAGAGTGTGGTGGGCTCTCTCACCCAGTGCACACACAGCACCAACACACAAGTCCTCACCACGGCTCGTATTTCAGGGCTCAACGTGTTGAGCAGTGGCGTCTAAGAGACACCGATGCTTTTCTAGCAGTTCTGGTACGTATATATATATTTTTCAATTAGAATTTTGAACATAATTTCATTTTGGCAAAACCAAATGGTGGAACGTGTTCTGTGTTAAAAAAACAAAAAAACCCTGCAGCATTCATGGTTTCATCAGGTATAAAACTGTAATCAAAGTGAATATTGGGATCATTTCCTAAGATCAGTGCAAAACCATCATGAGTCCCAATGAATAACCTGTATTTTTTAAATCACAGGTACTGCAAATTTCCATTTGATCTTTTTGGTAAAAGTAATTTTTTTCTTCCTCACCCTACCACACCTTTTATTAAAGCTGAAATCCCGAGAGCAGTCCTGGGGAATTTGAGTTTTCGAGCTCCTCTGTGTACGTGGGTGTAAGTGAATAGCCTAGTGCAGGGGTTGGCAAGCGTTTTCTTCAAGGGCCAAACGGAAAGTGTTATAGGCTTTGTGGGCAAAATCAAGGATTAAGAAGTACTAATGTAACACTGTAAAAGCAACCATTTATAAATGTAAAAACCATTCATAGCTCACAGGCCATAAAAAGACAGGAGATGGGCTGGATTTGACCACAGGCTATCGTTGGTAGACCCCTGACCCAGAAGAAGGCAGAAGGGGTTCATTAAGAGAAAGAAGCCTGAACTTAACATAATAAATAATCAGCAAGCCAAGAGAAATGTACACCTGCCAGCCATGTTCATGGCTAGAGAATCCAATGAAATATTCATTTCATTGCTCGACTGCCTTGCACTTCCTCGTTCTCTCTGCAGGGATCTAGATTCCAAAGAGGCCAGATAAACTGACACTAACGAATCAGCTCCCTATGAGCCATCATGAGCCCTAAGACACAAGCCTCTCCCAGTTTTTCCTTAAGGGCCCACCTGTGTGTTTTCATCTTCCGCTAGGCCGTGGGCCAGGTGGGCACTGAATGTGCTTTTCCCAACGCCGCCTTTCCCAGACAACACCAAGATCTTGTGTTTCACGGTCTTCATTTTTTCTTTGATTTCCTCTATGGCTGCAAAGAAAGCAATTCAGATGACCAAGCCCCTGACTCAATCTTTTTTTATTTTTTTAAAATTTTTATTGGAGTAGAGTTGATTTACAATGTTGTGTTAGTTTCAGGTGTACAGCAAAGTGAATCAGTTATACATATTTCCACTCTTTTTTAGCTTCTTTTCCCACATAGGCCATTACAGAGTATTGAGTAGAGTTCTCTGTGCTATACAGTAGGTCCTTATTAGTAATCTATTTTATATATAGTAGTGTGTATATGTCAATCCCAATCTCCCAATTTATCCCTCCCCTTCCTTTCCCCCATTGTAACCATAAGTTTGTTTTCTCTATTTCTCATTTGTGACTCTATTTCTGTTTTGTAAATAACTTCATTTGTACCATTTTTTTAGATTCTACATATAAGCGATATCACATGATATTTGTGTCTCTCTGAATGTCACTTTTCCCATGGGCTGGAAGAAGCTAAATCCTTGGGCTATTTCAAGGGATCATGAGTGAAACAGCACCTCATCAATGGTAGTAATAAGTGCTACCAAAAAACCTCAAACCAAAACCAAACAAAACAAAACCCAAGGCTATGAGTACATCTGACATTTCCTTATTTATCGGTTTACTTGCTTGTCTCCCCTACTAGAATATAAAGTCCATGAAGGGGGGGGCTCTGAAGTGTTCACGCTATATTCCCAGTTCCAGAACAGAACTTTCAATGCAGCAATGATTCCCAGTCTGCGGGCAAACCCCACCAGGGCACATCTGGCAATGTCTCGGGGTATTTTTGGTTGTCACAGGAAGGAGTGTTGCTGGCATGTAGTGGGTAGAGGCCAGGGATGCTGCTAAATGTTCTGGGCAGAGAAACAGGGCAGACATCCCCACCACAAAGAATTATCCAACCCTGAGGGTCAGTAGTGCCAAGAGTGAGAAACTGACACATTGCAGACACTTAGTTACCTGTCACTGATAACTATCACTATTACACATTTACTATGCTTTCAATATTTCATCCTAGTTCAAATCCCTAAAACAACACTGTAACTATTTTCCCCCCATTTTTGAAGAGGAAATGGAGGCTCAGAGAGATTAAGGCTTTTTAATCACCTCATCTGTCTCATTCATAGCTGTATCCCCAGCACAGAGCACTGTGCCTGCAAGTGATCAATAGATACTTCTGTTGAATTAATGGGAGAATCGCTCCTCAAAAGGAAGGAAATTTTGTCCAAAGAAAACAGCTGACGGAGCTAGGATTTAAGCCTAAGTTCCCTGACTTCAAACTTTATACCCTATTCCCTCTGGTGCCGGCCTCCTCCCAACCACTTCCAGTTACTGTCACTCAAACCGCTGGTCCCACCCCTCACCTCTCACGACTTTCTCCCATACCCCGCCCCTCCTGAGACCCCTTTCGACTCCACGCCAGTCACGGGTTCAGGCTCCGCCCCCACCCCGCCAATTTTCTCCTCTCCTAGCCTTTTAAAAGCCCTGACCCTCTGGGCCCCGCTCCTGTCACTCATCCCTCAAGCCCCGCCCCTTACCCTGAAGACGACTCCACGACCCGCCTCCTCTGGGCCCCTGCCCCTCATCCGTAAGGCCCCTATCCCAACACCATCCACACCCCGCCCACGTCCCGCCTCTTCCAGGACAGCGCTTCCCACTTCCCGTTGAAGCCTTGCCCCTTCCTCACCCGGGTCCGGAGCGGCACCAGCTCCAGAAGCGCAGAGCCCCTGGTTGGGGCACCCCTGACATGAGGCCCCTCGACCTGCTTGGGCGCTGCCGACCCCGGGACAGTCTGCGCGAAGACAAGATCACAGTTAGAGTGGCTTCTGTCCTTTCAGGCCCGCCCCCCACGCCCCCTCCGCGCGCTCACCGTGAGGCACCTCCTCCATCCCGCTGCCTTGGACGCGTACGCGGTCACCGGAAACCGCCGTTACGTATTTCCGCCTCGTGGCGCCCAATCTGACCCTCCAGCTGCGCGAAATTGTGTCTCGAAAGAGGGTTGTGCGCACGCGCGAGCCTTGTGATGGGCGTTTGGGGCTGTTCACTTTGTGTTCCTTTTAAAATTGAGTTGCAGATACCTATCATAAATACTTCGGCATGTATCTCCTAGGATCAAAGACTTTGTCCTACGTGACTTCAATACCATTTTCATATCCGAGATTTAACATTAATGCAAAACTGTTAGCTAATATTCACTTTGTATTCAGATTAAGGAAGAGCCCCCTGCTCCCCCAACCCCCCTTGATTAGATTTAAGGATTTTTAAAAAATTAATTTTATTTTGGGCTCCTTTGGGTCTTCGTTGCTGTGCACGGGCTTTCTCTAGTTGCGGTGAGCAGGGGCTACTCTTCGTTGCGGTGCACGGGCTTCTCATTGCAGTGGCTTCTCTTGTTGCAGAGCCTGGGCTCTAGGTGCGCGGGCTTCAGTAGTTGTGGCACATGGGCTTAGTTGCTCCGTGCCTAAGCCCTGGTGTTCCCGGGCTTCGGACCAGGGCTCGAACCCGTGTCCCCTGCAGTGGAAGGCAGATTCTTAACCACTGCATCACCAGGGAAGCCCCCAGGTTAAAGTTTTAAGCAGAATGCACTTACAGTTGTGTCACAGCAGGAAGCACGTAATGCCAGTTGGTTCCATTATTGGTGATGTGAGGGCCTGATCACTTGATAAAGATGGTGTGTGTCCTGTTTCTCCAGGGAATGGCACCATTTTCCATTTGTAATTAATACAGACTCTCTGGGGAGACACATTGAGATCATATGAATATCCTGTTCTCGATCAGCCTTCACTCAGTGGTTTTAACATCCTTGCCTGGATCAGTTGCATAGGTGTTTGCAAAATTGTGCTTTTTCCCAGTCCTTATCCTTATCTCAATTAATTGGCATTCCTCAGTAAATAAGTTTACCTCCCGCCCTTTTTTTGAGAATCACTATGGACTCATGGGTTTTTTAAAAATTCTGTATTTAATAAATTATCATTATTCTTTATGGTCAATTTTTCCCCAAAATGTGGCCAGTGAAGCCTCATCAAGCTTCTGTGTCTTGGACATTAATCAAACCCCTTTGAGCACTTTCTTGCTTTCTGACAATAGGATGTTCCAGGCTCTCCTATTTTCTTTGCTACAGCTATTTCTCCAAGGACCCCTGGTTGCTTTTCCTGGAGAATTGTCTTTAGAAACCATCCAAGATGTGGATGCTATTTGCTCATTGCTACTGGAGTATCATTGCTTACAGGTTTGGGACAAATTTTAATGAGTGAACAAACTTTCCCCAGCCTCAGGCACTAAGGATATAGAAACTCATTAAAAATAATGTATCAGTTGCCTATCCCTGCCACCGATTATAGCTAGCATTTGTGGAATGCTTACTATTCGCCAGCTATTACCTGGTGCTTTTATGTGAATTACCTAATTTATGCTCTTCATCAATCCTGTCCTCTAGGTCCTACTATCTCTATTTTTGGATGAGAAAACTGCCTTTCACAATGATTAAACAACTTTCCTAAGGTCACACAGATAATAGCGAGGGAGCCAGACTGATGAACTTCGGCTGTCTGGCCCCGGAGCCTGAACTCTCATCCATAACATATGGCGCTAGCGATACCAAACTGATCTAGTTCCTGTCTTCCTGGAGCCCAACTCGGTTGGGACAACAGATACTGAAGAACATAATTGCGATGTGATAAGTGCTACGACAGAAGAGGATCAGAGTGATAGGAAAGAATTCCTGAGTAGGAGACACCCAGATTGGGGCAGGGTAGGGTGGAGGCAAGTAGCGTTTCAAACTGAGCAAACAGCCTGAGCAAAGCCTGGTGGTCAGAGGAGTTCCCTTATGAGGCAGGGAGTATTGTGATTTCTGTTTTGCAGGTCAGAAGACTGGGTCACAGAGAATGACTTGCCCAGGGTCTTAGGGCCAGTAAGTGGCAGAGCTGGGACTCCAACAAAGTCTGGTATAGGGCCTGGGCTTTTAACCACTCTGCTGTACACTGGGAGGCAGGATGCAAGTTATGCTCCTTTCACTGAGACTCAGAGAGCCTTGCCCAGGGCCTCATAGCCAGCAGGCTCCACTGAATTCTTCTGAGCACAGGCTCTTTTTCTCCCAGTCACACTGCAGAAGCCTCAGGCCAGCCCACTTCAGGTGTTCCTTCCTGATGTCCCCTAAGACATTTCCTGCACGTTCCCCCTAGCTGTTTTCAGCGGCAGGGCCACTTCAGAGCTCTTTTGTCCCTAATTGCACAGGGCTCTCCCACTCAGCACTCAGTGGGTCTTTGCTCAGTGGCAGGGAGGAAAAAGTCTACTGTCCTTCAACCTTCCCCTCTCTACTCGCTCCTCTCCACAAGGCTGTAAGAATGATGGTGAAATCAAACAAACCTCTCAACTTTGCTCCAGGTCTCTCTCCTGCTCTCCCAGCCAAATTCCTGTCTCACCTGGGATGGAACTTTCCACCTGTTGTATTTGGGAGCAGAAGGGTGGGAGCCAGGTGGCAAAGCAGATTTCCAGGCCCATCCCTGACCTCCTGACTCAGAACCTGGAGGGCTGGGCCAGGGAATCTGTATCTTCACATTCTCACAGGATAGTAATTACATCCACTAAAGTTTGAGAACCACTTCTTACAATGAGCACTCCTCAAGACTGTTCTTGGCCCACTTTTAGTCACACTTGCCACATCCTCCCCACCATGAGCAGCTTTATGTCCACGGCATCCTCCGATATTCCATATGAAACATTCCCCAGTCTCCAGCTCCTATTTCTCCCTAGGTTCAGACACATGTATCTCAGTCGATGCTTATTGGATTTTACTGCACTGCTGTCCTATGAACATAAAACTCATGTCCACAACTTTCTCCTCAAACCAGTTCCTGTCTCTGGAGTTCTCATCTCAGAGACTGACACCGCCACTGCCGAAGAACTCAAGTCATCAATCTGAGCACCAGCCTTGCTTAGTTGTTTCCATCTCCCCTGTATCAGTTATCAATTGCTGTGTAACAAATTACCCCAATACCTAGTAGTTAAGACAACAATGGTTTATTATTTCTCATGACTCCTCTGGTTTTATCCAGGATCACTCATGTGGCTTCATTCAGGCAGGAGTTGACTAGAAAATCTAAGATTCTCATTTGTGTCTGCCTGGATTTCCCTCCACATGACCTCTCCCCACCATGTGGCCTCTCGTCATTCAGTGGTCCAGCCTGAGCATCTTTCCATTGCAGCTGGGCACGGCTGAGAACTGGCACAGGGTCACTCTCTCACATTCTGTTGGTCAGAGCAAGTCACAAGAGCAGCCCAGGTTCAAGGGGTGGGGAAACCGACACCATGTCTTGATGGGTGGAGTGGCGGGCGGGTACAGAGATGGGGGTAAGTGTTGGCGGCCACCGTGGTATCTCCCTTTACAGCCAATCATCATGTCCTGTAGCTTCCCCAGTGGGGGCTGTGGTGGCCTGGCTGCACAAGTGGCTTGATTCTTCGCCCCCCTCTTTATCTGTGCCCTTTGCTATCTAGCTTTGCAGTACATTCTGTTCTACCCTTGACTCTGGGCTCAGGCATGTGACTTACTTTGCTAATGAGATGTTAGCAAATGGGATCTAAGAAAAACCTCATAAAAGCCCTTGCCTGTTTTCACTTCCCTCTCCTGCCCCTCTGCCATGGCTGTGAGGATATCTCTGGCCTAGCCTGATAAAGGTAAGACATGGAGATGAGCCGAGCACCCCCTCCCCAGTGGTCCCAGCCAAGGCCATCCCAAACCACTGACCCTGAGACACACAGGACCAAGAGCTGCAGACCCACAGATGACAACAGACGTACGAGTGAGTCCAGCCGAGTCCACAAGAGCCACCCAGCCAACCCAAAGATTCATGAGCTAAATAAACACTGCTTTAAACCACTGTGTTTGGGGTGGCGATATACAAGTCCCAGGCCACAACTTCCATCATTCCTACTGCCTTGGCTCAGGCCTTTGTCCTCCTGGGCCTGCAATAGTTTCTGTATCAGGCCAGGCTATGCTGTCAGACAAACATCCCCCAGGCTGCACAGGCTCAAGGCAGCAAGGTTTATTTTTCGCCCCTGTTCATATACAGCTTCGTCGGCAGAGGCCCCTGCTCACTGTAGCTCAGGGATACAGGCAGAGGCACTGTCATCTTACGTTGCAGCCATCTGAACACAAGGCTTCAAAGGTGGAGAGTGTGAATTGTACGCTGCTGCTTAAATGCGTCCCCCCAGATGTGACACCTATTTGCTCACTTTCCCCTGGCAAGATTGAGTTCCATGGTCATACCCAGAGAGGCATAGGGAGTGGGCCCTGGACTGTCCCCTGTAGTTCCTCACAGGGTTTCTCTGCTCCTGACCTTTCCCCATGCAGATCACATGGTGTCACTCTGCTGCTCTTAAACCTTCAATGGCTCCCTATGGCCCACAGGCTAACATCCAATCTTCGCATGGTTTTCAGTGGCCTTGGTGACCATCTGACCACTCCAGGCTCATTTCTTTCTTTTCTTTTTTTTTTTCTTAAACATCTTTATTGGAGTATAATTGATTTACAACAGTGTGCTAGTTCCTGCTGTATAACAAAGGGAATCAGCTATACATAAACATATATCCCCGTCCAGGCTCATTTCTTGCCCTGGGACAGTGTGAAGGCTGGGCCCTAACCACTGAACAGCTGGCACTTCCCCGGGGACCCCAGCCCATTACTCTGTTGCTCACAGAGGTCATTCTGCCAGGAATGTCCCCGCTGCCCACCCCTCCCCCAGCCCTTGCCTGTCCGGCCATTACCCAGTCCCCCGGCCATTACCCAGTCCCCCGTGAGAGACATCTGAGCACCATCTTCTCACAGATGCTGTTCCTGGCCTGTGGAAGCAACTGGTTCTCCTTTCTCGAGTACAGCGTGTTCCAAAAGTCTGAGCCCAGTTTTCTCCTTCAGGAACT